CCTAAGGTACGCCATTTCTTTTGGCAAATTTTAACGGGTTGTGTACCGGTTACAGAAAATTTGCGGAAAAGAGGAATTGATTGTGACACAGGATGTGCCAGATGTGGCGCACCAAAGGAAACGATCAATCATACACTCTTTCAGTGCTATCCGGCACGGCAGATTTGGGCGCTTTCACAGATTCCTACGGTTATGGGGAATTTTCCCACGGAATCTATTTTTGCGAATTTGGATCACTTATTTTGGATAATACCTTCAAAATTCGATTCATCAGCTTTCCCATAGATTATCTGGTATATTTGGAAAGTAAGGAATGAAAAAATATTTGAAAATATAGACAATGACCCACTAGAGGTATTACGGTTAGCGGAAAAAGAGGCAAAATTGTGGCAGTCAGCTCAAATCGAGCTTATTAATGAAAATCAGGGTTCTATGGATTTGGTATCTCGACCTCGAGTGACGGTTGCTTCACTTGAATCGAATTATTTGGGATACCGTTGTTTTGTGGATGGATCATGGAAAGGAAGTGATAAGTTCTCCGGTACAGGATGGTTTTGTACATCATCAAGTGGAGAGCCGCCAACCATGGGAGCTGCCAACTTCCGTAGAAGTCTATCTCCACTACATACAGAAGTCGAGGCCCTTCTCTGTGCGATGAAGTGTATGATTGGTGCAGATAATCAAGAGGTAGCGTTCTTTACAGACTGTTCAGACCTGGTGAAGATGGTGTCTTCTCCAACCGAGTGGCCGGCGTTTTCATTGTATTTGGAGGAATTTCAGAGCGACAGGGAAGAATTCTTAACCTTCTCTTTATCTTTAATTTTTTGTAGTGCTAATGTAAAAGCGGATAATCTTGCACGAAAAGTTCGTACAGAACCGCGTCATATCACATATGTAAACAGCATTCCCAAGGAATGACTCTTTTGAGTTTTAATTAATTTCGGATGATAAAAAAAAAGGATTCTTTTCTCATTGGAAAGTGTCACTATAAAATAGATTCCAATCAAACTATAGTTTATTTTAATGATTTACTTAAATCATAAAATTTATATTATATACTGTCTTTCACAAAAAAATATAATGCACAATAAATCTAAAATGTAGTAATAATAATGAAAGAATAAAATATAACATAAATATATAAGCAAGAAAGAAAATTGAATAAAGATTGTATGAACCAAAAAACAGAAATGGTAAAAATATTCAAAAACACATATACATATATTATGTCCTATCATCTAATTTTAATTGGGGTAATATTAGGGAATAGCCAAATAAAACATTCAAATTAAGAAAATAGCAAAGAGAAAGTTTGTTGTTGCAAAATAGCCATGGACCAACGTTGTCAGATGATGTGAAATACCAAAACTATCCTTTGTTTGTTGCGAGATCAACGATATGCGAGACAGTTTCGTGAAGTTTTTCAAAATACCATGTAACATTTAAAATTTGCATGTTATATTTAACTAAAAGACATGATATTGTAAAAAACATAGAGAGATATTACACTGAATAGAATATTTTTTCAGAGAAATATCATGTGTTCTTTATAAATAACGTGTCATACGAGAAAAATACAGAGATATTACACTGAATAGAATGTTTTTTCCAAGAAATACCATGTGTTCTTTATAAATAACGTGTAATACGAGAAAAATACATGATAAAAAGATATATATTATGTTATCACATGTAATTCGAAAAAAACATATTACAAAGGACATTAACGTAATTACATATGCATTCCGACATGTTACAGACAAGTTACTATAGCTCATGGTTAGTTTGTATATTCTTTTTGAATCCATGGTTACTTTGTATATATTCCCTTTTAATTGTGTGTATGAATTTCAATTAGAAACTGACAAATGGAGAGTTCTATTTTCATCACTCTGGTTTTTCTATTTGAAAAAAAAAACTTGCATAGTTACTTGAAAGTCTGTTTAACTTTTTTACTAATCAGTTCACACCTCATTGTACTTATTATTTTAATTTGTTTATTATATTATATTAAACTAAAATAACAAAAAGTTGTAACGTAATAAAAAAATTAACAGTACTGAAATAGTTTTATAAGGAATAAATAAGATTATAATGTTAACTGGATAGAAATTCATAGAATAAAATATTTATTAATATTGTAAGTACATACAAGACCATGGTTTTAAATTAATTTTAGATTTTTTTCTAGATTTGCATCAATGTATTACGCAAAATTAATCAAAGATGAAATTATGCTTTCATCTCTACATCATTAAGAGTAACCTAAAATATTATTCATCGGCGATAAAGATGATATAATTTACATGTTTCCATGTTTTTCAAAAATGGCTCTTACTAAAAATACTCTTTCTCAAAAATGTCCATCAATGTCTATGTCGCTATGTTGGCACGTACTGACTGACTGGACCTCCAAAATTTTTTTATAAGAAGTTTTAAACCTTGTGAAAACTAAAATCTTTATCAAACCTTTTAAAATCTTTATAAACCTTGTAGAATCTTTATCAAACCTTTGTAAACCTTTTAAAATATTTGAAAATCGTGTAAAACCATAGAAATGAATTTTATAAACGTATTTATAAAACTTTTGAAAATCTTTATAAAACTTTGTAAAAGGGGTATAGCTGAAAATAGACAATGTTTGGGAGTAAATATGAAAAGGGGTACCGGAAAATGAGTATTTTTGAAATTCTCCCAAATATCAAATGGTTGTTAGGACTTGCCTTTTGTCTTTTATCTTTCTTTAAGTTTGACTTGGGTTTCTATCTTAGAGTGTTAAATACAGAGAGAAATTTTATTATGGTACATTTTATTTTCATACATTATGTTTGTTATTGTAGAAAATTTATATATTTGTTTTTTTTTAATTTAATAGCGAGTTTTCATTTAAAATCACTTTAGATGTTCTCCAAGCAGAGTTAAATTTCTTTTTTTTAAGTAACATATAAATTAAATAGTTTAAATTCTTAGTTCAAGATCGATAGTATCTAATATGGATTTCGGTTAGGTTTAAGCATTTAGGTTACTAGATTATGTACCCGCGCATTGCGCAGAGTTTTAACTTAATTTTTTTATCAGTGCGAACATTTGAATTTTTTGAATTTTAAAAGATTTTACTTTACTCATTTTCATTATCTTTCCATAGTAGTAAATTTTTTTTCACACTTTTCACTATAATTTTTCTTGTTATCTTTTATGATTCACTCGTCGTATCCCGATATCTACTCTTTTTCACCTTATATTGTACCTATAATATTTTCGACTATGAATTAGATCTCAAGATAGATCGTATATATTTTCTCATTCATATCTTTCAATACTCAAATTTGTTTCATAACTGGCATGAACATTTTATTAAAGTGAACATTAGAAAATCTCGGGAGATATTTGTCTTAAAGTTTCTTTGACCATGTTTGGTGCATGTAAAATTTCTTTATAGACAACAAATCTCATATATGGACTCATTCCTATTCAAAAACATCGGATTTCAACATCAAATTTTGCAGTTTATCTTTACCATTTGAAAAATACAAAAAAACAAATTCACACATATAATTTTACGTATATTATGATTCTATATAGTATTCTTAATGTTCATTTTCGTAAAATTTGTAACTTACGAACTCATATAAATCATTCTAATTTTAATATATATTTTTAATCCTTAATTTTTAGTTCTAATTAAATACTCTTTAATATACCATTACTATTCTATTTTCAACATAGCATTCACAATTATTATTATTACACAGTTTCTTATTCGATTGGATTTTTTTATTTTTATTCGTGATGTTTAGGATAGTTTTTGTTTTATTTCAAATCACCTTAAATTTTTTCGATCTATGTTGAAATTTCATAAACACTAATTAATATTTAGTTTCTCTTTTTTAGGTATTCATTTGATTTTGAAAAAAAAATCCACCACTTTTTAATTTAGAAAACACTGATAATATAGAAAATTTTATTAATGTAAATATTTATATTATATTATAATTATAAATACTAATATGTCTTGTTCACAAAATCAGTATCATGAATGAATACTTTAACATTTAAAATATATTTTCAATTTATAATGTGTATTTTTCTGAAATGAATTAATTTTTTTTTTCAGTAAAAACCTTAAATTTAGTATACTTTTAATTGATATTTTTCTTTATTCTACTAAATAATTGTAACTCTTAAAAATGATAGTTTTATCATTAAATTATATAATAAGTTTTTTTTTCATATCTCTAGTCATTTAGGAATATTTACCTCATTATATGTTAAGATATAATTATCTATTATTACATTTATACAATTTTTATTCAAAAATTTATATTTTGTGGTATAATTTTTTTAAAAAAATATTTAATTTATTCTTTTGTAAATTATTTATTTTGTTTAATGAAATATAGTAATATAAATTACAAAATGTGTGAATTAATTATAGTTTTAATATTTTTGTTTTAATAAATAAAATATGTGGAGCACACACAAAATTAAAATAGGATGACTTGAATGATGATGTGGACAGCCCCGGCTTAGAAGGGTGGGGCGGAGGTGCGACTGCCTGGGGCTTTTTTTAGAAAAAAAAATTTTACATGTAAAAAAGGCCCAAATATTTTTTTAAAATATTATTAATATGAGAATTATATTTTAAGAGGTCTAATTCTTTATAAGAAAATTTATAAAAATGCCCAAAATTTTTAAAATAACAATTTTCACTATAAAAAATCCGCAAATTTTCTAAAAATTAAGTAAATTTTGTCTTTATATAATAATAGGTTAAAAAAAAAAATTTGCCCTAAGGCTCCCAAATATATTGGGCCGGGGCTGGATGTGGACACCACCTTAGATGGAGAGACAACACTCCTATTATATATATAGATTGGTAGCCCAATTACGAAGCTATGTCTACAAAACAAAATTCAGAGAAAAGATTTCGAGAAGGTATTTAGGTATTTAGGTTATTAGTATGTTAGTATTCAAAGTAAAAAGTAGTTGTATACATATAGTTTGGTATGGTTTTGGTATATAAAAAAAAAAAGAGTTTTGTTCAAATATAACTTTCATTTTGAACTATATTTAAGTTTAAATTAATATATTTCGGTTAGGTTCAAATTCATATTCATTTTTTTGGATGTAAAAATTATACTAATAGTAGATGATTATCCACGTAGTAGGTATTTGTAGTTTGTTGTAGATTATTTTACGTTTTGATATAAATAGATCTATTTATACAATTAGTAATATAATAAATTTTGAAGATGTCTTACATCTCGTAATGGCTAAAAGAATTAAGTTTAGAAAATGATAAGTTCAAATAAAATAAAATAAAAACACTTGCATTGTTGTTCGATTCGAGGTTTCTTGAGAAAGAATCAAAGTCATAGGGTTCTGCTGTGAGTAAACCCGTTCGTAGTTTGTTATGTACCATCTGCAGTTGTTGGTATCTCCTTTCATCTTCCAGTTTTTAGCCAAAATATTGAGTTATATAAAAGAAAGATAGATATAATTTTGAGACTCGCAGTGCCACACTAATTCTTAATGCACAACCAACATGAAGCTATCTGTCTCATCTGGTCTGAAGAAATGATTTTTCTTGCCAAAAGGAATTGGAATACAAAGTTACTTCTCAATAGTAGCATAAGATCTAGTTATGTTTAAGCTTCTTTAATGTCAGCATCTTCAATCTCACCCTCTTCCTCAACTTTGGCATCTTCTTCCTTCTTCATCTTCTTGTTTTCGAGGAATTCGAGTAGACCTTTGAGCGCAATATCAGCGTTCTTACTCGCCATGAGCTGCTGCGCGATTTCAGCCGGAGTTACACTCACATCAATGACAAGTTTCTCGATGGGATCAAACAGGACATGGTCATCAGTTTTAAGGTACATAGCCACAAGCTTCTTCAACACAAATGGAGTGCAATAGTCCATGAGAATGTGAACATCCATTCTTCCCGGCCTCAGCAATGCCGGGTCGAGCTTCTCCTTGTGATTGGTTGTAAAAATTATGATTCTTTCTTCTCCGCAACTCGACCAAAGCCCGTCTACAAAGTTCAATAGACCAGACAAAGATATCTGTCCACAAGAAAGAAGATTCATAAGGTTCAAAAACAGAGAGGTTATTAAAAAAACAGAGGAATTTTGTCAACTTACCCCAAGGTCAGGCTTCTTCTTTTGCTTTTGGAGCTCAACATCTTCTTCATTTTTGGTCTGGCGTCTACGAGATGCATCAGCTCCACAATCAATGTCTTCAATGAGAAGAATTGACCTGTTCTTGGTGGCGGTAAGAATTGTCCGCAACTCACCATCATCTCTAACGCTCTGAATCTGGAGATCATAGATATTGTAGTTCATGTGATTAGCTATTGCAGCCACCATAGAAGATTTTCCGGTACCGGGTGGACCGTATAGAAGATATCCACGTTTCCATGCGCGTCCCACTCTCTTGAAGAAGTCTTTTCCTTTAGAAAAAGCATCAAGATCGTCTATCATGGTGGTCTTAAGTTGCGGCTCAATAGCTAAGGTCTCAAAGCTCGTGTGGTGCTCGAAAATGGCTGCTTGCCATGATGACCCTTCTCGGTTGTAAGTGTAGATGTAGAGATTTTCGCGATGTCTCATTATCTTCTCTGCTGATTTCGCCAAGTATGTGAAGTAATCTTTCATTATCTTGTCACGAAACTCCTTCTTACAAGTCAGATTAAAGTATCTGAAATGAAACATCCACAAAACCAACACGGTAAGAACAAGAAAAGATTAGGATTAATGCCAAGGAGAAGAGAAAAAACCGAGAGTACCGTTTCTCGTAGGGATAAGTTTTTGTCTCAACAGAGTGTAGAGTCCACTCTAGATGAATCCCTTCAAACTCATCAAAAATCTTTGTGTTGATATGGATTCCGAGTTTCGGCTCAGCCGACAGATTCTTGATATCACTTGAACCCACGAGGAGTTCTCGGCTTGAAAGTCCGGCAAGACGCGTTGTTAAGTAAACTTCGGCCGCACGGAAAGTCTGATTATCGCAAAAATCCCATTTTTCCTCTATAACAAACGAAAAACTCGACTGAAAATAAGAAGAGAACAAGTCTACAACTTTCGGAGTGATGTAATCTCGGATTGGCTTAGGCAGTGGCGGAGCCAGAAATTTTGTTTATAGGGGTCATAAAACATTTAAAAAATTAGGCCTGAAAAAAATCTTATTATAAATATATGTATATATATATAATTTTAAACCTAAAATATTTCATATTTCATCTTTCAAATCAAAAATATTCACAGTTTATCTTCTTTAGTTGTATCATCAAAACTTTTTTTTTAGTTGTTTTTTAATCTCTTGATTCATGATCCTTTTACTCTTTTAGGAAAAAAATATTCTAAGAACAATGTTGAAAAGAATGTAGAAATAAAAACAGTATGTCTAAAAAGAAGAAAAAAATCGATATGTTAATAGGTTTTTTTAATAAGAAAAAAATATTATAGATTTTTAGGTAAACCATTAAGATTAAATGACAAAATGAATATGCATGGGGTCAAAGACATGAATATATCACATAACATAGGGGTCATTGTGAATACTTTAACCCAAAACATATAATTATTGTAGAAGATTACCTTATAATTAAAAAAATCTAAAAATGTTATGGGGGTCAACTGACCCCCTTAATTGTACGTTGCCTCCGCCACTGGGCTTAGGCACAATTTCGTTGAGGATGTTACGGAGAATCATCATGATTGCGGATAAAGATGTGTAGAGGGCGAAAACTGTGGATACAGAAGGGACTTGGTTAAAGAGAGAAGCCATAGTGTAAGCGAACAAGGAAGATGATGAAGAGCTCTTTATCAAAAAAAAATATGATGAAGAAATGATAAAGAGCTTCTTTAGGGTTTAGAAAGAGTTTGGACTTTGGAGAGTAGTGAACAAGTGCAAAATTTTACCATTTATTAATCAAGAAAGAAAAAAGTAAGTTTGGATGGAGGAAACATACACAAAATATGGACAAATGGAAATGTGTTTATCTGTGAATATTATATTTGTTTAAAACATTCTATTAAGATATACATAATGAATGCAGATTAAAGATATAAATTAAATGGAGAGTTTTTTTTTTTTTTTTTCTCATTGGAAAGTGTCATATATTGTACTTAAAAAAAATCAAATCAAGTTAAACTAAAATTTAATGATTTAATTAACTCATAAGATTTATATTTACTGTCTTTCACAAATAATTATAATCTACACAAGAATCTAAAATTAAATATTAAAAATATAACACAAAGAAATTATGCAAGCCAAAAATAGAATAAAGATTGGATGAACAAAAACACAGATGTTAAAAATATACATATATATATATATGTTAGATAATCTAATTTTAATTGTGTGTATTAATTTCAATTAGAAACAGACAAATGGAGATCAAGTGATTAAATTTGGAAAAACAAATAGTTAAAAGTTAATAAGAGACATCAAATTTAAAATAACATTTACATTTTTTCTAGATTTGCATTAATGTTGAAGAACTACAAAAAGAAGTAAATTTATTTTCATCCAACACTATAAATCATTTTAGAGTACCATAAAACATTATGCAACCACGATGAAGATGATTGTTTACATGTTTAGTTTGACGTAAATATAAATAGATTGTTAGGACTTTCCTTTTATCTGAAGATGGTATCTCCCAAGCAAACTGAACATGTAATGCAGTGAAGCCCAAGTAGCTTTGAGTTTGAAGGTAGTTATAATCTAGTTAAATTTTTAAAATTGAATTAAATATTGAAACAAATAAAATATTAGAGTAACTAATCTATTCACCTTATTCTAAATCACCAATCTAAATCTTTTCGATGCAAATTTTTTATAATGACTAAACATCTATCAATATGTTATAATTACTGAAATAACTTTAATCAAGAGAAAATAAATTGATCAAAAATTTGCAAAGGTTAATGAAAATATGAGCAAAACATAATATTTTTTTTTAAACCGACAAAAAATCACAGATTCAAAGTTGAGATTCTAAACAAATAGAAACAAACATATATAAGACCATAATTTTGTGTTTTTGGCGGCTCCGATAAGTTACTACATGAAGTTGATAATTAATTTGATGATAAATTACCACATTTAGCTGATAATTCAATATCCTTCTTCCATGACCTATGTTATAAAGGAACCCTTTTGATTCATTATTATTCATCAATTTTCAAGATGTCCTCAATTTCAAATCCTCGTTTTCCTGAATAGAAAAACTAGAGTAACTAATTTATTCACCTTGTTCTAAATCACCAATTTAAAAATTTTCGATTCTATTTTTTTTTGTTCTTTTCTATTTTATAAATCGACCTCATAATCAAGTTATAAGATTCTTCGTTATGATTTCTGTTTGTCATCTAAGAATAGTAGTTTGTATAATTTTACTCCAATTTTAAACAAAAAATTAAATAATTGGCTATTAATCTACTATAGTGATGGTTGATTCATGTTTTTTTTAGATTCGATTAATAAATCTTGAAAATGTTGGTAGAAAATATTTTGTTTATTGGTGTAGTTCTTTTGTCACAAAAAGATGATATTTTTTAACTTTTGGTTTTTTTTTTGTTAATATTCGCCTCTGATCTCCATACATGTCGGCACGGCTTTGGTTGAGGTCGAGGTTGAGCTTTGCATTCTGTATGCTGAACTCAGGGATCCTTGGTCTGATCACCAAGATTGCAAGCGTGGTGAATATGAGAAGAATGACGCCAAAGAAGACAAGCCATGCGAGAAACCAAACCCAAGGCTTCAAAGAAGCGATCTCAAATTTACTATTTGTTTTACGTGAAACGTAGCATTTCACGTTGGAAAAAAAATAACGAAGAGAAAGTCTCTAACAGAGAGAGAGACTTCACTTTACCAATTCGAAATTCTAGGGTTTTATGATGTTTGAAGATTTCACAAGATTCGTTTTTTTCTTGTGTGTCTTAAACATAAAATGCCACACAACCTACATGTTCATTTCCTCTTGCGCTTGTGCGTTTATCCAGAGCAGGCAAGTCGCAAGAAGATACCTATTCTAATTGATGCAGAGAAGAAAAAAGATGGTTTAGATGATCTCTTGCAATTCGCCGACTACGTTGTCTGCTTAACAACTCCCTCAGGCAAGTTATCATTGGGTTTTTATTTTTATTTTAGGGTGTTAGATACCGAGACGTAAATTTAGTTTGCAAATTTTATTTCACATAACATGTTAGTTATTTGCAGTAAAAAGTTATTATTTTTTATTTTAAATTTTGTAGGCCTTTTATTTTATTGAGTGTTTTTTTTTTCCATGCCATGGGTAGGGTTAATATTTTTCTTCACATATCAAATATATTAAAAAGCTTAATTTCATATAGTTCAAGCTCAATAGAATCTAATATTGGGTTGGATATTGAGGTTATTAATATTTTAGTATCCAAAGAAAAAATCAAATTTAAATTTAGATTTTAGTTTTTTTTCCCATTTTTTGGTTAGTTTCAAATTCATAATTGTTTTTTTTTAATATACAAATAATGAACCTCTTTCTATTATACTAACTCTTTTTAGTGAAAAGTACTAGAAGATGCATAATACAGTAGTCCGAAACAGGGTGACTAGTGAGCTCCATTCGTTACCAAGAGTACTCACCGAAACTTGTTCTTCTTCTCCAAAGATGGTCATGGATCTTCTTAGATTTCTTAATGTTGTTTCAAACTTCCACTTTTCATATAAATAATTTATAGATTTGCAGTAATAAATTTAACAGTCATTATAAAATAAAAATAAAATAGAAGATGCATAATAGAAAGTACTTGTAACATATAAAACAACTCACAAATTGTATAAAGCCAATCGACTTAACAATCCGAAAGACCATTTTAAATTCTTTTTGAGCATAACAATTTATTATACGATACATGTTTTCATATGATCTTGTCTCTTTATTTTTTTTTTTTTTAAGGTAAGAAGGACTCAGGGTCTCAAGACATACCATGGCAGTCTCTGGGAGAATATGCCTAATCTCTCAAAAAAAACTGTTCCTAAATATGAGAAAATTACGTGTGATATTTTTAAATTTATTTCCTTCTAAATACGTAACTATGATTGGTATGCGCCATATGTGACTATGATTGTGCTTTTCCTCGATCCATATTATCGGATGAATAATCTTAAACAGTTTTTTTTTTTCATTCCGGATTGGTAATTACTGATAGAAATCAAAGACATCGTGAAAAGTAGGAAATTCTCTTCATAATTCTTTACTTATTTCTACTAGTAATAAGTAAGATTGAAAGATTACTTATTACTAGTAATCGGTGTATCTTTTCGGAATTCTACTAATCGGGTTTTCGTTTGTGTGTGTGTGTTTTTTTTTTTTTTTGTAGTTTTTCGCTCTTAGATTTTTAGTCTTTTCCGCTACTAGTATATCTCTGTATTTCTGTCAAAATTATCGAAAATGGGATACTATAAATATTAACATTAA